AGTCATTTAAGCTGACTGGCCTTGGCTTCCTAATTTATAATATAAGGGTCCTCCAATCTCAAGGCTATACAGTTTGTTTTGCCCCAGGTTCACATTCGGAGAAGAAGGCAAATCACTAAAATATGCTGTTTAAAGTAATTGTTTATAACATTGATGTCATCTAAAGGGGTTTAACTCTATTTTCTGCAGTCCGTTGACATGCCCTCACAGGAGACACAAGGGCACCAAACTGGAGTCTGGGGACTCAAGGGTTAAAATCCTGTTTGGGCTACTCAACAGTGTGGAGCCTTGGGGTCCTCCTTTGGAGAGCGACAGTACTGAGATTTATCTCAGAGAGTTACTGTGAAGGTGAAAAAGAATGATATTGGAAGATGAACTTGGAAAACTGTTGTTCCTACCTTGTCTGGTCTTGTGTCCCATTCATGTACTGTGTCTATCCTTGCCCCTTGGTCTTTGCAGGTACCTCCTTTTCTCTCAGTTCCCTCCCCATTCCATCCCACCCCTACTCATCCTTCAAGACCAATGTCTCGCTCTGGCTCACCTTCTCCATAAAGCCTTCATTGACTACTTTAAGTTACAAATATCTCTCCTGTCTCTCACCCCACTGTATTTCAAGTCATTATCATACCAGCTCTCACTTGATTACATATATATATATATATATATATATATATATATATATATATATATATATGCTAAGTATGCTAAATTCCCTTTAAGCATGTTGCTTATACTTTGGTATTCACATGGTAACCAGCAGAGAGCTAGAAATATACACTTTTGAACCCATATGTATTACATCATGTTGCCCCTTCTTTTTCTCAGAGTACCTTTCCCTCCCTTCTCTTCCTGTCCACTTTCTACTTATCTTTAAGGACCAACTCGGTTGGTTTCTTCTCTGCTACTTCTTCCCTTGTTTTCTCTTTGTTTAAAACTATACTTTCCTCAGTAGCCATGACACACTGCTTCTGCTAGACTTGAATGTGTATCAGTCAGTTGTATATATACCTAGTCCCCACTACAGGTATAGATGAGGACTTGGAGGAGGGTAGTTGATTGTAATCTCCTGGACAATATAGTATATAATGTGTATATCTTTGTGCTCACCCCTCTTCCCCTTAAAGCCTGAAACCTATCACTCATAAATTCTCTAATTTACTGAGTGCCTGGTATGTGCCAGGCACTGTGTTAACAGCTGCTGACAATATGAGCTTACTTTGTGGAGCCTTTGGTGTGTGGAGGAGCCAGACATTATGAAATATTCACAGCAAAGGATGGAATAGGGTGGCCTGCCTGCCTGCTGCTGAGCAGAGATGCCCAGAGCTCAGAGAGGGGGTGAGAGGTATCAGGGCAGACTTCGTGGAAGAACTTCGAGAAAGGCACAACTATGAATATTTGATGAACTGCATGGAATTGAAATGGTGGCTGCTCAATAAATACTAGTTCATTGGTTGATTGATTGTGGGAAAAGCCTTCGGAGATTCTGAGAAGAAAGGGCCTCAGGTCCCCATCGTTCTTATTACATAATTATTTCAGTGCATTTAAAGCTCCTCATTTTTCATCTTATACTTTAAACATCAGGGAAAAACTGATAGGCCGACTTTATAATATTTTAAAATGGCTCTGATGTTTTGGAATATTACATGGCTATAAGACTTTATGTATATTTAATATACTTAGTAAAATATGCAGTAAGCCCATGGCTGATTTTCTCTAAGGACTTCTCAGTGCCGAGGTGGGACTTAAATGTTTAATACTAATAATAATACTCATAACTCATATTTCTCTAGTGCTTTTCATCTTAGGGATCCGTCAAGCCTGTCAGCACCACAGTGATTGGCTGCATCTGGGCTCACCAGCAGGCTGACTGCGTCCATATCTGGTCTCCTGTCTCCCTCCAGGGAGGGGAGGGTCCAGCTTAAAGATCCAGCTTCCTCTGCCTATGTTGAATTTTCTCTTCCCCGACACAAATGCTTTCTGGCTCCCTCTGAAAGACTGCCTCTGTGTAGAACTGTTGCTTCCAACCATGCCCCACAGATAGTCACTATCTTAGGACAAAGAAGAAAAGTGGTGTTATGCTCTGGGGGTGGGGGAACACATGCCATTCCTTTGGCTAGTCAGAACAGGACACAGAGCCTGAGATGGATGACTGGAGAGAGAAGGGCAAAGGGAGTCTCCCCTTGTTATGTAAACCCACGCTCTGCCCTTCCTGCTCTAGGTCACGGAGACCAGGACCGGCCCTCTGGGCTGCAGCAACTACGACAATCTGGACTCGGTCAGCTCAGTCCTGGTGCAAAGTCCAGAGAACAGAGTGCAGTTACTCGGTAAGCTGCACAGGGATGGTGTTCACACTCCTCCCACCTGGTAAAAGGTGTGGATCCCCAGGGAGCAGGGAAAAGTCCTGCCGGCCCTGCCCATTTGCTCACCCCCTTTTAAGACAAGAAACTTTCCATCATTCATTTGAGAAAACTTCTGACATGATTTGCCCCACACCCAAGACCAATGCTTATACCACTCAACACCCCAAATCCAAAAATGCTGTCACTGTCCTACAGCAACAATGCATCCATCTTTACACATTGTATGCGGGAAACGTATTTATACGTTTTACGTATTTATACGTTCTACCAGGGTAGTAGAGCGCGGGACATGTATTAATACGTTTTTTATAGACTAGCGGTAGAATGCGGGTAACGTATAAATACGTAAACTAAAGTTATCGTAATTTTACTGAACGTTGCCATTTGCTTATACCACTCAACACCCCAAATCCAAAAATGCTGTCACTGTCCTACAGCAACAACGCATCCATCTTTATATGCCTTGACCTCGTTCAGCGATCTCCTTTCTTGTCCAAAGAAGCCTCTGCTTTGTCCTGAGAACACACTGGAAACAGCTGGCCTTTGCAGAATGGTTATGGGGCCACCATGTCTAGCTCAATTAAGAACTATACAAACTGTGGGACCACTGGTTACCCTGAAAGTAGTGCCCTGCTTTCTGTTATTAGTCAGTGATCTTCCATGGGAGATCAAAGCTAGGAGGAGAGTGTGAGAGGAATGGGATCCTCAACTGAAGACAGAGCAGCAAGCAGGAAAACGGGAACGCCAGAGGAAAGGGAGCTCCACTAGGTCAGGAGGTTGGAGATGGGCGGCATCACTCCTGCTGTCTGTCCCCTAGGCACGCAAACTGAGTCAGAGCTGTTTGGTAGTGGGAAAAGTTCATTTTTCTTAAGGCCTAACTGAATTGGACTCTGCTTAAGATATTATTGTCTCTGTATTATAAAATCAATAGCCCTCAACCAGGATCTACGATTACAAATTCCAGGCAACCTAAGCTGGATGCAACCCATAAATGCTTTAGGAATCAAGGAATAAATAATAAAGAGGAGTAAAAGACTCCTTAGCTGGCACCTAAGGCAGTTAGCATCCCGCTTCTCCTACATTCCTGGGTGGGCTGGGTTGGTGTCTGGAAATTAGCAACGAGGGAAGTTCAGAATGTCTGGCGGTTCATTTGGAATAGTTTATGCCATTTAATTTTATAGCCCATCACTCATGCAGACATTGCTCCGGGCACTTATTTTATAGCAGTGGGAAATGTTATGGTGAGGCAGAGGGAGGTGATAGGAGAGGTGAAAGGAATGGACTCGCAGAGGGGTGGGTGTTGAGAGCACGCCTATGGACAGGGAGTGTGGGGAGCGCAGTTCTAAGGCCCCTACAGGCACAACATCAAGAAAGGAAAATTCGGGAGCAGTTCAGAATGGGAGGGAGGCCTTAGACAAAAACACTAAACATCCACTGCAGCTGCAATTCTAACATATTTTGAATTGCTGAGACTGGGATATATACTTTGGGCTCTGTGATTGCCTGCCAAGGACAAGGTCAAGGGTGTGAAAATAAAGAGCTAGCAGACATTTGAGAAAAGGGGTGCATCATATACATAAGTCCCCATGTCCCTCACCCTCCTGACACAGGATCTCACAGTGTCCCCAGCGGGGAGCCTCCTGCAGGTCTGACCTTGAACAAGCTCAGGCTGTGTCCCAAGGCATGCCTGTCCCTCACTCATCCCTTGATATGCTTCCAACAGCCACTCTGTGTGGCTTGAAACCAACTAGGGGTATCTTCTGCTACGACTGGTGAACGAATACCCACCACAGATGGGTGGGGAAACTGAAGCATCAGTGGATTACAGCCAAGATCAGAGGATGCTAATTAGAAGAGAGCTGAGAGCCATTTGCATGTATCCAGGCCTGACTGATCTTGGGTATTTACCACCATCCTATTTTCGAATCTCCTCAAGAGTTAAATTACATTGAGATGGGGCAGCCAGTCCTGGTGGGACAAGGGCAGTGTCTGACACCAAGCAGACTTTACTAGTACTGTGATTTGGGCTGGTCACCGTGGTCACTGGGCTTGGATTTCCTCACCTCTAAGAGGCTTAGTATGACCACAGCTGTTACTTGCAATTGTATATGGAAAGTACTTGGGGTAGTGCCTGGCCACTATATACCCACAATACCTGTCCCTGCCTCCTAACCAGGGCAACCTCTTCCATCCTTGGGACTGGGGTGGGAGGCCCAGAAGGATCAGCATTCAGGAACATCTTAGGATGCCTGCTGCTAATCTCAGTGAAGCTAGAAACAGGATGGTTATCAGAGACAAAGCAAAAAGCCCATCAAGGCTTGATTCCTCCCCCATGAGAGCTGTAAGCTCTTCTTTTATCTGAAACATCTTCCTGTTTCCATCCTAGAAATGCTGATGGGTAGCCAATAAGCCCGTTCATATGATGTGCACGCTCTCAATTTGGCTGATATAAGGGGTTCCACTAAGCCTTGGGCTTTGATGATCCTCATTTGCATTTTCAGATCCTCCCCCATCTGTCACTGGGGCAGCAGCAAAGCTCTCTCCCAACCAGCTCAGCAGGATCAGGCCCTGGGGTGACCGTTCTTGGGCCCAGGATGCACAAGGAAGCAGAACCCTAGCTGGGCCTCCTGCAGCCTGGGGTGAGGGAAACTGAGCCCCACTGGTTCCGCCTGGCAATTTCCTGACATGTCCTTTCCCTAGGCCTGCAGGTGCTGCTGCCTGAGTACCTGCGTGAGCGCTTCGTGGCTGCAGCGCTGAGCTACATTACATGCAGCTCTGAGGGCGAGCTCATCTGCAAGGAGAATGACTGCTGGTGCCAGTGCAGCCCTACCTTCCCTGAGTGCAACTGTCCTGATGCGGACATCCAGGCCATGGAGGACAGCCTGCTGCAGATCCAGGACTCCTGGGCCACTCACAACCGGCAGTTTGAGGAGTCAGGTGAGCAGTCACCAGTCCCAGGTGTCCTTCCTGTTAATGGGAGGTGGATGTAAGGTGCGGGGCAAGATCATGGGAACTCAACTTGGATCCTGGCTCAGCCACCTCAAGCAGGTTCTATCACCACTCTGAGTCTCAAGTCATTTCTTTCTGTTCTATATGCAAATGGGCATACTACGTACCAAAGAGATGTGTTTGAAGGACTTAGTAAGCTAATGAAATATAAGGGAGGCATAGGCTCTGTCTGTTTTGTATGCTATAGGTTCCACGATGTCTAGAACAGTGCCTGCAAATAAGGTGCACAATAAATGTTTGCTGAATGAGTAAAGTGAATAGAAAAGTTCTAGGAGACCCAGACATGCTAGGTATAACTAATATCAATGTAACCTTGAGACCTAGATTCTGAAGGACTTGGTTTTGCATCCTTGCTCTGTGTTATAGTTTGTGTACCCCAAAATTCATATGTTGAAAATCTAATGCACTCAGTGATGGTATTAGGAGGTGGGACTTTGGGGAATGATTAGGTCATGAATGGGATTAGTGCCCTTATAAAGGAGACCCAGAGAGATTTCTAACCCTTTCCACCATATGAGGACACAGTGAGAAGTCAGCCATCTGCAGCCCTAAAGAGGGCTTTCACTAGAACCTGGCCATACTGCAACCCCAATCTCGGACTTCCAGCATCTAGAACTGTGAGAAATAAGTTTCAGTGGTTTATAAATCACCTAGTCGGTGGTATTTTGTTGTAGCAGCCCAAACAGACTAATGCACTCTGTTGCTCTCCAGCTCTATGACCTTATATTGGCCACACGGCTTCTCAATGCCTCGGTTTCCTCATCTGTTAGACAGAAAGTGATAATGACAGTTGGATAGAAGGCTTAAAAGGGATAATTGAGATAAAATTAATGTAAAAAGAACTCTGCACAATTCTATTCATACATTTCAATACTAATGAATGCTAGTTATTTGGATATATTTCAAAAGCATAATGTTAGATAAACCAGCAAGAGGAAGAGATATATACATATTTATATGTAATGCTATAATATAATAATCTATTAAATATAATACACATTTAATACTATTTATATGGAGTTGAAGAACATGCTAGTGAATACTTAATATTTTTATAGATAAGTACACTTGTAGAACACATAAAAATATGTGATAACGATAAAGAAAACATCCAAGAGAGTGCCCACATCTCGATGGAGAAGTGGGGACGTTTGGGGTATTCAAGCATATTTATTTGTCTTACTTCCTTTAAAAAATCTGAAACCAACATGGCAAAGGGCCAAATGCTAGGTAGTGGGCACATGGGAACTTATCCTGCTATTCTCCATACCCCTTTGTAGGTTAAATGTTTTATTAAACAGAATGATGCACATGATAGTTATGTTTCACTACAGGAGTGATTCTCCACTTCTCTGCAGGGGATGCAGAACCAGATGCTTGAGAAGTCAGAATGAGCTGAGGCCCCCGTCATTCCAAGTTCTAGGCAAGGCATTTAGCAGCTAAGAACATCCCACCCCAGTCTCCCAACCCCAGCTGCTATAGGCTACTGGGGATAGCTGTTCCGTAACTTTTAAGTGTGCAGGAAATGACTTTGGGCTTTCACCGCCATGAGTTGCTGCTGCTGAGTAAACAAGGACTCTCTGGATCTCCATCGGGAGACTGGTGGCTGCAGGTCCCATTAAAGCAGATGTGGACAGATCCCTGAGCATGAATTCAGAAAGCATGATGTGACCAGGAAGCCCGGAGAACATCTCAGACTGGCAGTAGGAGCTGAGAACCAGAAAGCACATTGCTTCTGGATTAGCTACAGGAAAGAATGGGTATCTGACCAAGAGTGGAAGCTCAAAAAAAAGGAAGTATATCCCAGAGTAAAAAAAATAAAAAAAATAAAATAAAAGGATAGGGAGAGGGTGGCTGGTCTCAGAGATTGAAAAGCTTTCAGGAAGATTTCTCAGCTGGTGCTCTATCCTCTCTGTGTCCCCATTGGTTAGTCAGTTCTGGGCCATGGACACCGGCCTCCAGCACTGCTACCAGCAGTGGGGAGCCAGCTTGAAAGGGCTGTTCACCCTTAAGAGTGCCTCATTTTCCATAAGGGTGCTGTGGTGTCTTTGAAGATTGGCCTCAGACTGCGCTGTGAATGACTTACAAGGAAGTAGAAAGGGGAAAAGGGATATGTCCCAAGGCCATTGGCCCCTTGGGGATGACAGAGATCTGTCTTGAAATTGAGAAGCATATTAAGGACAGGAAGGATGGGAAAGAATCCTGAAGCCATATTTTATGGTATATTAATTACTTCTCTATAAAGCTATTGAAAAATACATAAAAAAAGGGTCTGGGAGAAGAATGGCTGCGAAGCCTCTTCTGTATGCAGTGACTCTGAAGGGCTGGGGAGCACCCACCTGCCCCTCTGGGGGTGTGCATGGACCCCCTCAGCCCTGCCTGTGTCCTTGCCCACAGAGGAATTCCAAACCCTGCTGAAAAGGCTGCCTGACGACAGGTTCCTGAACTCCACAACCATCTCCCAGTTCTGGGCCATGGACGCTGGCCTCCAGCACCGCTACCAGCAGCTGGGAGCCAGCTTGAAAATGCTGTTCAAGAAGATGCATCGGATCGTCAGCCGGCTCTTCAACCTCTGCAAACGCTGCCACCGGCAGCCTCGCTTCCGTCTGCCCAAGGAGCGGTGAGCACCCCAGGCCCCAGAGCCAGTGCTTGGCACCTCCCCAACAGCTAAGGCCAGGGAGGACCCTCTGCCCAACATGGGAGAGCCAGGAATAGGGAGCTACACACATGGCTTTTTAGATGCTCCTGTTATCTTGACCTACTCATGTGTCATCCTCAACTATGAGATGTACCTAAAGTGAGCAAGTGAAAAAAAGAGGCTAATTGGACTTTTATATATAGATGATGGTAGAATCAAATGTTATCCTAATAATACTCCTATTCTCACTTATTTCCATTTTGATAAGTCTTCTAGAAAAGAAAGGGGGGAGTCAAAGCTCATACACCAATTGCTTGGGATGAGAACTACACACATTGGATTATTGTGAACAGGTGACTGCTCCGAGTCACAGGAGAAAAGAGAGCTGGGGTCTCGTGTCCTCGGGGACAGAGTGGGACTGTATCTTAGGCACTCACTCATTCATCTGCTCATTGACTCATTTGTTCAACAAGTTTTTATTAAGTCCACATTGCATGTGCTTTGATTAAGCTGTGGGGGACATTTGGGAAGACTGAAAAGATATACAGAAACATAAAGACTGATAAATTGCAGCTATGTGGCAGCCACTTAAAGCCACTTCACTTCATGCTCATGGAGCGTAAAGAAAAAACATGGTCTAGCAAAGGCCAGAGAGAAGAGCCACCACGGGGAAGGAGGAGTGGCCAGGCTGTACAGGAGATGGAAAGGCGGGTGCATGTGAGCCGGGCATTCCAGGAGAGGGAGCTGCCCTGGCAACAAAGCAGAGGCGCCACTCTACCCGAGGCACAGGAGAGAAGGAAGAGGAGGGGGAGTGCAGGCCAGCAAGGGTTTTCAAGACCAATTCATTTCTCTTTCAACTAATAATTATCAAATATTTACCGTGCACCAGGAACAATTCTAGCTCCTAAGAACACGTTGGCGAATAACACAGTGTCCCTACTCTCACGGCATCTGCAAGGAAGCCGTCCATGAACAAGTCAGCACCAAAGGAACACAATAATTTCCGATCCTGATCACCGCTGTGGGTTCACAGAAACAGGGTGACGAGACAGAGAGTGACTGGGCGGTTCTTCTGAAAGGGAAGTCTCGGAAGACCTCTTTGAGGAGGCATTATCACAGAGCTGAAATTTTTTAAAGGAGCCATGTTAGAAAATTCCTATTCTTGGTGGAAGAGTGAGAGAAGCAGAGGGAACACAAAGGACAGCGACTAAGAAGTGGGGAGGAAGTCGGCAGGATGTTTGAAAGTGGAGAGCCGGCTGTGAGAAGATCTTATTTAGGAGGCTGGAAGCCAGATTTGACACAAAAGATGGGGCAGAGCTTCTGTAGGCTTTTGAGTGAGGGAGTGAGGCAGTACCTGGGAGGGATGAGCTTGGAGGCTTCCACTTCAAGGTTGATGTCAAATATTTCTGGGGCAGATCTGTCAGAACCTGGGTCCCAGGCCCTAGTCAGTAGGGTTTCCATCTTTTAGAGAATGTGGGCCTTTAATTTCCTGATCGCCTTCCCTGTCTGCTGGTCACAGTCCTGGTACCCTCAGGGAGGATGGCGGTGTGTGGCTTCCTATGACTCTTGCTTCATTTCTGTCTCCTCTCCCAAAGGTCCTTGTCCTTCTGGTGGAACCGAATCCAGTCCTTCCTCTACTGTGGAGAAAGCACCTTCCCTGGCACCTTCCTGGAGCAGAGCCACAGCTGCAGCTGCCCCTATGACCAATCTTCCTGCCAGGGCCCCATCCCATGTGCCTTGGGTGAAGGGTCTGCCTGTGCCCACTGTGCCCGGGACAATAGCACACGCTGTGGGGGCTGCAACCCGGGCTACGTGCTGGTCCAAGGGCTGTGCCGGCCAGAGGTGGCTGAGTCCCTGGAGAACTTTCTGGGGCTGGAGACAGACCTGCAGGACCTAGAGCTGAAGTACCTGCTGCAGAAGTGGGACAGCCGCATCGAGGTGCACTCCATCTTCATCAGCAACGACATGCGCCTGGGCAGCTGGTTTGACCCCTCCTGGAGGAAGCGCATGCTGCTCACCCTGAAGAGCAATAAGTACAAGCCTGGGCTGGTGCATGTGATGCTGGCCCTGTCCCTGCAGATCTGCCTCACCAAGAACAGCACCCTGGAGCCCGTCATGGCCATCTACGTCAACCCCTTTGGAGGCAGCCACTCTGAGAGCTGGTTCATGCCCGTGAACGAGGCCCACTTCCCGGACTGGGAAAGGACTAACGTGGACGCGGCTGCCCAGTGCCAGAACTGGACGATCACCTTGGGAAACAGGTGGAAGACCTTCTTTGAGACAGTCCATGTTTACCTACGGAGCCGAATCAAGTCCCTGGATGACAGCTCCAATGAGACCATCTACTATGAGCCCCTGGAGATGACAGATCCCTCCAAGAACTTGGGCTACATGAAAATCAACACCTTGCAGGTCTTCGGCTACAGCCTGCCCTTTGACCCAGATGCTATCCGGGACTTAATTCTCCAGTTGGATTACCCATACACTCAAGGCTCCCAGGACTCTGCCCTCTTGCAGCTCATAGAGCTTAGGGACCGGGTTAACCAGCTTTCTCCACCTGGCAAAGTCCGGCTGGACCTTTTCTCCTGCTTGCTCCGGCACCGGCTCAAGCTGGCCAACAACGAGGTGGGCAGGATCCAGTCCTCCTTGAGGGCTTTCAATTCCAAGCTGCCAAATGCTGTGGAGTATGAGACAGGCAAACTCTGTAGCTAATGGGGGGGGGGCACTTCAGTGCTGGACAGGGAGGGGATCCATGCATCCAGGCACTCACCTTGGTGCCAACAAGGTGCTCCCTTGAGACTCTGCACCCAGCAGATGAGACCTCGGGGATTGGACTGACACAGGCAGGAGAGAAAGAAACAGCCACTGCACATGCACACACTCACCCTGCGGGTATGCGCGCGCGCGCTCTCTCGGGGAGGCTACAACTCAGCAGCCTTGTGTCTGTAAAGTCCGTGCTTTCCAAAATGAATGCAGTTGAAGGAGAGGAGCCAAGGGAGAGATTAAGAAAAAGAACCAGCCAAACCATGAAACAAACAAATCCTTAAAAGTGATTCTTATCATTCAAGGAAGCAAGAGGGGACAAACGGGAGGGGTGGAAGCTCCTGCTCCCCCTCTGTGGAGTCACTTTTGTATTCTTTTTAACCAGGTTTCTTGGTGTTTCGTGATTCCCACACTGGCTCCTACTTTTTGTACTCTGCCTCCTCTGAGCCCTCCCGGACGCTGACTGCTCCTCCAGGCGGCTCCTTTAGGAAACAGGGGAAGTGACACCAACTGAGGACACTCAGTGTGGGCAGGCGGCCTTGCTCCCCCTTCACCTTCCTCCCTCCCCCCTGGTCCCCTGGCTTCCTGGGCTACCCCAGTTTTGGGGCCGGACTTGTTCCACGTCCCACCCCTGGTCCAGCCAGAGCTCCCTTCCTACAGCCCCCAATCTGTCCAAGAAAGCAGCTGTCCAGTCAGAGAGATGATGTCTAGGGAAATGTTCTTTTTTAAAAAGAAAAACAAAAATATTTATTTTGTGATTGTTTTCCTTGTCAATCTGCTCCAGCCACATGAACATATGAGTAAAAAATTTAACTGATTTAATATATATTTTTAAAGACCTTTATTAGGGGGAAAATGAGAGAGAAAAGAGGAAAAAAGAGTATAGTTTCCTGGGTGGCCTGGATTTTTTTATTGCTCTGTGGGTGACACGTGGGTGTCCTTAGATGGTGGATATTGCTGTGTGGGAAGCTGGTTGAATGCATGCCTAAGTGAATGCATGCCTATCTTGACTGGGTGTGAGGTGTGCATGTGCATGTGCGTGTATGTGTGTGTGTGTGTGAGAGAGAGAGAGAGAGAGAGAGAGGGAGAGAGAGAATAAAGATTGGAATGAGACGGAGTAAGGCAGAATTCTCCCAGGTAATCTGGCTGCCCCTCTCCCTTTTCCCAGGAGTGAGGACTAACACGGGTTGTACAAAATCAGGAGAATAAAAGTCTTTGCTCTTTAGGGGAACTGCAGCCTTTATGCTGGGCAAATGCTGGCTAAAGGGGGCACCTCTGCTTACACTGCTGCGGACATCAGGAGAATTTTCCACACTCTGGATCTTAAAGTCTGGGATCGCCCTTTGAGGACACTAGGAAAGATGCAGACTTGGCATGAGTTTCCTCCCTTCGGTCTGATCACCACCTTCCCAGCCTGAAAAGCAGGTTTGACATACGCCACACAGGGCAGTGCCTCTTCTCTCCTTAGTGCCTTCCCCAGGTGGTATGGAAATCGCTTCACAGCAAATCTTTTAAAGAACCATGTCTCTCTGTCTGTTCCCCACATGCCCTGAGCACAATGTGTAGGCATGACAACCCCCATTTTATTCAAGCGGAAGTCACCACATAAATACTAAGTACCTCATTCTGTACCTGTGGTACATCTCAGTTGGTACAAAATGAACTGGGAGACAATGAGAGGATGGTCATGTCTATCTGCCCAAGAGCTTCCATGTTTGTCACTGCATAGAGAAGAATCCAGCGTTTTATTTAATCCCTGAACCATCTCTCTGTTCACGAGGACCTGAAATCCCAGGCAGATAAGCAGCCTAGGACATTTCTTTCTTCACAACTCCCTGAAGTCTTCTAGGGTGGGAATGCAGAGTGATGGATGAACTAGGGACGAACAGTTATTGCCTATTTCTAGTTCAGCCACTACTTGCTTGGGGGTGGGAGGGTGTGTCTCAAGCTCTTTGTCTGTGGGATATGGAACCAGCAGATCATCTTCATCAATAGGGCTGTGGATGTACCAAGACTGCTTCTAGAAGGCAGGTGGAAGAAAAGGAAGAAATAAAGAATGGACAGGATTCCTGAAGGGGCTGTTAAGGCTTAAAACCATGAATTCAGCATAGAATTTCTCAAAAAAAAGCTAGCCTAAGAAATGCCATAATAATAAAAGGATGCCACTGGTCAAAATTGTCACTTTCAAAGTCTATAGTACCCAGATGATAGGAAACAACTATTCCCAGATACAATCACAAATAAAGAATTGTCACTAATTAATAGTGGGTTGTCAATGTTGGTGAACTCCCTGTGGAATTAAGAGTCAAATCACAGTTCAGTTACTGGCTATAACAATCAGGAATTCAAGCCTTAATTGTCACCCTAAAGAACTAATACATCAAATGTAATCTGTCCTAATGCTTGAGACTAATACCTCTAATACTAAATAATATATTTAATGCCTGCTGCTAATAATATAATGCCATGCTCTGCAGGCCTACTCACGCTCAAACTGCCAAAAACGTAAATGAAGTCTGTTTCAAATACTGGGTATCACAGATAGTTCACATACAGTTCTTGGCTTCTTTTCACAAATATGAAAACAGTCATCATGATGGGCAGAGCCGCCTTATGTGTAGATGGAATGCGTTGCTACGTGATGTCCTGCCCCCAAATATCACCACCAAAGTCTGTAATTCCATCATGCAAGTCTGTTCTCTTGCACAAGAGGGGTCTTCCTTTTTTGCCATTATGTTTCATATGAAAATGAAAATGCCCTTAGAAGGAAATAAATCTTAGAAGTTAACCCACTGGCAAAAGAGAGGATGCAATTTTTGGAGTTGGAAGGTTTTTAGAGGTCATTCAGTCAACTCATTTCTTATGTGAGGAAGAAGAGGTGACAGAACTTGCCCAAGGTTGCATCTATTAGCAGAGCTGGTAATAGCACTGAATATGCTTTCTTCTCTACCTCTCTCGCTAGTACATGACATCTGGGTGTTGGGAGATGACAGGCACCCAGTGTGGGGCTTAGGAGTGTGAGGGTGGAGGAAAGGCGATTTCCCGGGAAGAAGAGGTGGGAAGAGCTTCACATCTTTCCCTGGTATTGGTTCTAGCAAAAGTAACCAGCTTCTCTAACAGGCAATAGAAAAAGACTGAAGTTTCTCCCGGGACAAGCTTTCAGCACAGCCTAGACATATTTCCATCCAGGTTGGATCTCCTTACTGGATTCCTGATGACTCTATCAGCTACATGTTTTTTTAATTACAACATCCTGCCTCTAATTTATTGATGTTTTCTATAGATCACCAAATAGAGTTTGAATATCTTTACAAATCTGTGTAACAACTTTCTTGTGAAGGCTAGACGTATCTGGGTACCACCAACACCAAAGGGCTTAGGTGGTGCAGTCAGCATGTCAAGTGTATGAGCGGAGTCTAGGCCATGGCAGAGAAGGGGAATGAGGCAAGTTCTGCTGTACAGAGTTCTCACTCCTTCTAGCAGTAGAGTGAGAATGTGGACCAAAGGAGCCACCCAAGACAAAGCTGTGGCTGGCACTCCTGGCCTGGAAGGACAGGTGGAAAATTCAGATAGTGTGACTGACTGTAGACACACACCTTTCTTCTGGTCTGCTTCCAGCCATCTCTACACCCATGAGCAAGTCATTCCACTTCTCCCAGTTTGCTCCCCTGTGTATGAGGAAGTTGGATATTCTACCCAGGTACTGGGGGTCCTTCTGGTACTATCCCTTTAAAAGCAGTATGACCCAGGAGACAGTCTGGGAAGTTGGACAGACCTTGATTTGCATAGAGGCTCCACATTTATATTTAAGTGACCTTAATTCTTGACCTGTCCCCTTATCTGTAACCCAACTACTTCATGCCTACCTCCTTAAAATTTTTCTTTTTTTCCTCTTTCTGAACACTCACCTCCCTGCACACTTTTGCTCTATACTCTCCACAACACATGTATATCTTCAATTCTCCAAACATCAAGCCTGTTTCTTCTCTTTCTCCTTCCCTCCTTCCTACTTTCCTTCATTCATGTTTTAAGTGCTAGGCACTAGGCTAAAATGTAGGGTATTGAACACTCTTTGAAACATGCTTCCGGGCAATGAAGAATTGCACAATATAATGTGGGGGGTGGGGTGCATACACAAATCAGAGAGATGCGTTCTCTAGTAGAGATGTACAAAGTACTGATGATGCACAGAAAAGTCACTCCCTGGAAGAGACGCTAATGACACTTACTGTGAACCTCCTAGAACTATAGAAGCAACACCCCTGGTGTCCAGATGTTTTATATCTCAGTGGAGGGAAAGACTAACATATAACATGTGCATCCTTCCCAGAGAGCAGAAAAGTGCAAGGATGGCAGCAGAGCCCCACTGAAGTCACACGCTATGTCTGGTCAGTGCCCTTATTTCTAACTCCTGAACCCCATGTCAGCACCAAGGCATTCAGTTTAAGGCATGCTCAAGGGGCTGCCATGGGAGGTCTGTTTAGTAGCAGAGCTGCTTCCACCTCTTGAGAGTACAATGGTCTCAAAAGAGTGCTTCCTGACTTAAACGTGCATATGATTCACCTGCAGATTCTGATTCAGCAGGTCTGGGTGAGGCCCCAGATTCTGCACATCTAACAAGCTCCCAAGTGATGCTGCTGCTGCTGGTACGTGGACCACATTTTCAGGGGCAAGTTTCTTAGGGAGTCTGCCTATTAGCTTCCTGCAGCATCAGCACTCTAAACCAGGAGCCTCCCAGAAGCATGGGGGTTGAGAAACAGAAAGGTTAATCATGTCTGGCTAGGAGGTGAGGACCTCACTTATGAAAATCTTGATGCTCTACTGGCCTTTCATCTTTCAACCAATTAGGAGCCAGGTGTCTGACCTCTATGTACCAGTAGAGTAAAAAAACAGAGAAGGGAGAAAAGAAACGAAACAACCAAATCAAAATTCTGTGACTGAGAGCTAGCTTGCTTATGAATGCGTTTACAGCAGAGCAGTCCCACCGACCGGCTAAATCATGCTGGCAGAGTAAAAGGTCTTTTTTCCCTAAGCCTATCAGAGTAAATCTGTTCAGAAGTGGGAGAGGGAGTACCTGCCACTCTGTGGAAACACACATCAGACGAGACGATTAAATTTATACCAGCAATGCGCAAGCACCCAGAGGCCCCAGACTTCAGACTGCACCTCCAGGCACCTCATCGAAGAAATAAAATGAATCACTTTTGTTTTCAGCTCTGTCCTCCTCCCCTTCAGCCTGTATGATTACTACTACCCTTGCATCGTTAATAAAAATAGCCACCGGAATTTATGGAGGGTCATTCTTCCAAGGATCTCAGAACTTGGAGGAATGAATCAATCAATGTTATTTATTGAGCATTTTCAGCCAGTAGATGTGAGGAATAAAGCACACATGTATTTAGTAGGCACACTCCCTTAATTCAAAATTTTTGCAGATGACTTAAAAAGTGAAACTTGGGTAGGGAAGAAGCTGTACAGCTCAGTGAAAACAGAAGCTGGACTTAGAATGCTTTATGGAGTCAGGCTACCTTGGTTCAAATCCCGTCTCTGTCATTTACCCACTGGGAGAAGCGGGCTATGTCATCAAATCTTTTTCAGCCTCAGTCTGCACATCTGTGTAAGAGGGACAATAGCAGTGTGTATAGCATAGGATGTTGTGATGGTCAAATAAGGAAAGACATGTAAAGGATCTCGACAGGTTCACAGTACATGCTCAGTAAGTGTGGGTTGTTTTTAATGCATTAGATACTTTCTATGTTTGGGGAAAAGGAAAGGGAGGGGAAGGAAAGAGAAGCAAAGGAAAAGCAAAGAAATATCCTTGTTATT